ACAAAAAATTTGGAATAGAAAATAAAATATTGTAACTAATAAACTAAATGTAATAAAATTAAAACATTAATTGTTTCTGAAGCTGAAATAGGTGTAATAACAATGTTACAATTTTAATAATTGTGTAATAATTTTCTGGAAAACTGGTTTCATTGGTTTAGCTTTACTCCTCGTTATAATTAAAAATATAAAAAATGAATAAAAAAGGAAATTCAATGTATTTATTAACAAATTCGGTCCATTATGGATGAAACTTCCATTACCTAAGATTCATCATGAAAATCTCATGATTCTCTGTGAAGTTTAATTATATCTGATGATTGTTATTCTTATATAAAATAAAATTAAAAGAAAAATTATTACAAATACTCACACATCAATTGATATAATTCTGATTTTAATTAAAAATTGTATCAGCCTTCATTTTTTCATTGAAATTTATTCAAAAACCAAATTTACAGTACCAATGATTTCATTGAAAAAATATTCCAAAAGTCGTTTACATAAACAACAAAAACAGCAGAAAAAGAAAAATGTATAGGAGAAGCAAAGTATAAAAAGCGACTTGTTATGTGTAATTCGGCGTGCTCATACGCACGTACGACGCCTAAGTTGATACTTATACATGGTGTACAAAAAACAATGATCATGGCTTATGGAAATGATTTTCCATATAATGTCTAATGGACAATTTTTGAAAATGTCTAACACAAATTTAATTTGAACCTCGAAGTTGTCTTTGAATTCTACATATTCTATAACTTATAGAAAGATAAAAAGTTCTAATGAAACAGTACAAATAAACTATTTAAATTTTGCAGAATTTTCTTCTCCAGAAATCAATATCTTTTAAAATATGATATATGCAAATGTGAGATATGACTTCTTCAATAATAAAAAATATTTATAATATTTTTTCTGTCAAAGTTGACTGAATGAATCTTTTTCTCATTCAATGAGTTTCAATTATTCAAATTTTACAATAAGTAAGTATTGACAAAAGTTTTATTGTAGTAAAAATTTCTGAAAATGTGTCTTCTTTCTTACACACAAATTTTCACTGTACAAAATTCACGATCTTCACATTTGTTCATACAGAATTATTTATTAAAATTCTATAAATTATTATTTTTAGACCAAGTCACCGTCACTCGAATTAACAAACAATCTTGAAATATTCATTTCTCTGCGACAGAATTTGAATCAAAATATTTAAAAATGGAAGCGAATTTGGTTGTCCACCTAATATTTGTAAATCATTAACAAAAGGACAAATCACTATCAATTTTCAATTCAATTACACTTCTAACTTTTTAATAAAATTATCCTAACGCATATTCGAGCAATTTAAAAAATTTAATTGTACATTTTTAATATTTAAACTTTTTAACACACCCTGTAGATAGCGCATCATAACAGAAGCGTGGAAATTCTGTGGAATTTGAACAGTTTATTCTGAGAGAACGGTTCATTTCCGTTGCGCGGTTCCGTTTGAATCTTTTTTTATCCTCTTAAGAAATGAAATACAGAGAAATTCAATTTCAGAATGTTAATTAATTAATTTCATATCTGGCTCTATCTTTGTGAATATTTATATAATATTTCGTGAAAAATCATCTTTGGAAGTCATGAGCATTACTTTTGATACGACCTGTACATTCGCGATTCCTTGTATTGCACCATCTGCTGGAAATAGAGTACGGCCAACGTTTATCCGTACGCGATATAGCATCTGTACGTACACGTGTTAACGTTCACTCGATGAGACGGTGCTACCAGCAAAAATTGGATCAAAGACAGAAGAAACACAGAGAAAGCTAAAAGAAGACAGACAGGAATTCGATGCAGGTTAACCCCTTGACGCGCTGTTTAACTAACCCTCGGATGGTAGATACAAATCTGCACTCACTCGATGTGTAATTTAACAATATATTATTATTGTTATAACAATTAGAAAATTAGTTAATGAAAATTAGATCCAAACTGTAAATTATAGTAACAGTAATATATATTATTAATTATAATTCAATAACAATAATATATATAATTAATCATAATAACAATAATGTATATTATTACTATTAATATTAGTAATTAATATCAATGGAAATAATATTATTGTTATTACAATTTTTGAATCTAATTTTCATTATTTAAATTTTATACTACCTCATTAATTTATAAAAGTCCTTCATTAGGAAATTTGGACCCATGCATAATTGTATACTTATCTCAGGTATGGGTCATAATTAACCCCGTCAGCGCTGTTCGAAGGTTAAAAGTCATTTCTTTGTAGACAATATACAATTTAGCAACTTCATCTAACGATAAGTTTTTATAATGATTAACAATATTTAATTGTATGTGATTTTAGTTCATGACAGAAAATTGAAAATATAAATATAAATACATGCACTCAAAACGTAATGTACCTGCAAAAGTACTTACAACGTCATCTATGATTTTGTAAGTTTAATAGCTATTGCAGAATATATAATTAAAGTAATATTTATAACTTGAATCAATCACGTCAAAAATGATTACGTAGTAAGACACTTTCGTTATAAATTGAGAATTTTAGTAGATGATTGATTAGAATTTGTCTTTCAAGTGTTTCGTGACTATAAACTCACAATCAGTCGTGTCTGTTCAGTGTTTAGGCGGGAATATAATCGTTTCAGAAGCATTTATTATTGCCTGGAACTTCAATCTACGTTATCTAACTCTGTGGTAAAAAAAAAAAAATGATCTAATCGTAAATCACATTTTTTAAATTGAAAAACACAATGTTCATATGTTAAGAAGCAAACAACTAAAATAAAAAAAATACTTCGCTTCAAAACAAGAATACTTATAATAAAGAAGTATCAGAAAAAAAAATATAAGTCCAAGAAGCTTTAGTACAATAAAATATTTTTGTTGCAATAGGATTAATATCGTATACTTTATACATGATGTCTCATTCCACTTTTTTTTGTTTTGTTTTTAAATGTTTTAAATTATACATATTTACTCTAAGGACAACAAATTAAAATTCCAAACTTTAAGTACTGATATTCTAATATTAAAAAGTAGTACTAATTATTCCTGACAGAAAAATAACATTCATTATCTCTCCTATTTTGGATTTCCATCCATAGATACTCGAATTTTGAAATATCCTACATTCTCCTCCGACATTAATCCGATTATGAAACTATTGAGAATTACTATGAACATTTATGCAAATAATCCTTAATATATGTAATTTTAAGTTATTTTAACTTATTTAAAATGAATAAAAAGCAAAAAAGTCACATTTTTCGATTAAAATAAAGTAGACGATTAGAATAAAAATTTAATTTATAAAATTGTATATTAAATTATTATTTGTTAGTTTTTAACTAATGAAACTGATTTAAACTGATGAAACAGTGAAAATTGGCTTCTGATCAAAATGAACTATGATTTAATAATTTAATATAAACAATGATGAAATTGCAATATGTCTTCTTTAAAGAAGAAAAAGCTAAGTTGCCAAAATTATAGATGACGTTGTAGTTTTAAAACGAAATGTAAATATAAAGATACCTACTTTGAAGGGATCTCTCTAGTATGGCACCTTTAAAAAACTAGTTTCTTTTTTTGCATTATTTTGCAATTCGATTATTTCAAAAATATTATTCCGAGGCATTCTGAACTTACACAATAATAGTAAGTGCGATAAGATTATTTTTTAAATTCTTTTTTTTTAATTGAGTAACAAAAACCAATCGTACAATTAATTGCTTTATCCCTTTGTCCCTTTGTTGCTTTATCGATTCACCCAGAATTAGGTCAATCATTTACAGAATTCAAATTTCGCTACTCAAAAGGCATACCTTTTATTTGCAGAAGTAAAGGGTTTTGTCACGTGTCGCCATTTTTTTGATTTTCCAATAATTTTCTTTTATCTTAAGCATAGGTATTTATAGTCATACTTTTTTTAAGTTTTTCGTTTCGAGCAATTCCTATATGGATGATACTTTTTGCCTCCCCCCTCAACCCCCGAGATAATTGCTTTTATTTGGTAAAAATTTTGAATATTCTTAAAACCGATAAGAATGAACTTATGAAATTAAATTACTAAAAAGCTCAATAATTCTTTTTTTTTTTAAAGCTGTTATAATAAAGAGATCCCTTAAGAAACACAAGTTAGTTAAATATTATGGGAATATACACCAAAATACTGTTACTGTTACTGTAATTACTACTAGCTATAAACAGAACGAAATGTAAGCTAAAATTTATCAAATAGCTCTTCGAATCTCATTACATATTAAACGCCATTTAACGTCAAAGGGTTAAACGTGATGATACAGATAAGCAAATTTATTAAATCGTTGCATATTAAATATCCAATTTAATGACATAAATTATAAAAGTATTGTAAAATAACACTGATGCCACATTAAAGTACCATTTAATTCAATTTAATTTATAAATTTATAGAATTTAAAGTAACTACGGGACCCTTTCATTAATTATTTTAATATAGACTGATTGGTTATTTTAACGCATTGACGACTAATGTCACATATTCGTGGTTTATACTTTTAACCTTTCACTAGATTATTCTTTACCTTATTTTTATCCACTCTGTGGAATATTAATAACAATTCAAAAATTAATAAAGGGTACCCGGAATTTTTGAATTCTTATACACCTGTCAGTAAACCCGTATATCGTCGGAGGAATAATTAACACCTAATGGATGGAACATGTAGATTTACGATTTTTCATGCTAACTTTTTAAGACGCGCATATTTTAAATGTGCAAAAATACTCTCAAAAATACCCTCAAAAAAGCCTTCAAAAATTCCCAGCAATGGAGAAAGAGGATTGGAAACCAACCTGTCCGTTAAGTGTTAACGAACATTGTTTCGAACAAATAAATTGGGCATTTAATTTGCAACAATCCGTCGCTATTTAAAAGAGCAATAAGTGAAATGAGATAGAAATCATGATTGTTGCCAACTTACTCGGGATATTTGACGTTGGGTAGAGCCTTTAGGAAGCACCGTTGACGTAAGATGCCCTCCCACAGTTGCACACCGACGATACCGAATATAAAGAAGACGAAGAAGCACAGCAGCAGCACATTGCCCAGCATAGGAAGAGTGTCGAGTAAAAGCATCACTAATATCCGCATACCTGTTCAAATCCAAACATCACAAGGATAAAGTTACATCTTCAAAGAAAAATGAATCTTCTGTTCATTGTTCCTCTTTAGGACGTTTCTATTCACATTCTGAGGGGATGAATAATTACATGCGTATCCGGTAAAAGGAGCGTGTTTTCATGAGTATAAATACCAAATCCCAAGGAAAATTAAGGATGCTATAGACAACCAGGTCAAATCGGTATATTGTGGCTCCAAATTAATCTCTTTGTTATTTATTCATCTGAATCGTTAGGGAATAAATTTCAAGGTCATTCTTTTAGATACTATATTGGTATATGAAAATATCCGAACAGCATATGTTCAGAGTTAAAATAGAATTGGTTGCAGTTAAAATAACAAATTAGAAAATGTAGTTTTAAGAGAAAGTGTATAGGGACCTACATTAATATTGCAATAATTATTGTTTTATAAGATTTTATGAATTATTGGCTACGTGGCACATTTTTAAACGGAAGATACAGAAAGAAGAAATTTAGAAAATGAAAATAATATAAAATACAGAATTAAATTAAAATTGTGGCTCTCTCCATGGTCCGCCGTCCGAGAGTTAATGCTTTTTGTATTCATTTATGATTACGTTAAAGAAGTAGTTGTCACATACCTAATGTGATAAGGTATTTATTTTAATAGATAATTAATATGGATATTTTGTGTATAGTGAAAAAAAAACGAAATGATTGTAAATTTGGATTTTTCAAAAATATTTGCACAGTTATTATGTTCTGCAATCTACAGTAATGGAGAAAACCATAATACATCCACATTATATGTTTCAACTAACTCGTTGATTCTATTTTTTTTTTTATTTTCGTACCTTTTAATTCATGTTTCTATTAATTCTCTCATTAACACTGTACCATAAATAGAAGTGAAGAAGTGCAATTTCGGATTATTTTGAAGATTAACTTGCACTCCACCATACGCGTATCCAACAAAAGAATTTAAATTTGGTTTTCCCGGTAACGAGCTTGTTTTTGCACGAACAAAACTGTTTCGTTATGTACGTATCAAGGGTATGCAAATGTTTCCATCGTCCACGTATAAATAGCAGTACGAAGTATTTTTATTATATTAATAGTAACTTTTAACTTGAACTCTGCTTGAACACAGAGCCTGGGTCAATCGTGACCCAAACTTACAGTATGTATATAAACCTAAAATCAAATGTATCATTTTTAAACGAAAGGGTTTCACATAGTGGAGAAATAATTTTTAAAAGAGCAGTGTAAAATTTAGTAAATTAAAATAATATGAAATACAAAATTAAATTAAAATTGGGGTTCTCTACATTCTACACAGTCCGCCATCCGAGGGTTAATTAGAGCAAACATGACATTTCTCACAATATAAATTTACCATTTTATATTATAAGAAGCAACTGGTAAAACATTAAGAAACTATTATTATTATAATTATAATTTTTTACAATAATAATTAATAATCGTCCTAATTTTGTAGATAATTTGAATTTGAATAGTTACAGATAGAATTTTGAAATTGTTTATTTTGTAAATCGAAATTGCAGCCAATCGAATAATTAAATATTAAGAGGAGTTGTAATATTTTTACTTTTTATTTCTAACACTACAGAGTTTTATTATAATCGTAGACACATCACAGGACAAAATACTGATGATTCCTTTTTAAAGCGCGCTGTAGGTGGGATTAGAAATGATGAAAACAATTGCATATTCCTATAATAATGATAACGACTTTTTTTACGCGTTAAAGAAGTAGGTACATGTACCGAATTCATTTTCTTTTATTGATATTGGCACAATTCGCTGGAAAATTAAATAACACGATCTTTCGGGTATAATGAGGTCAACAGCTTTGAAGGAATAAAATTTTATAGGGTAGTTTCCATACTCACTTGGAATTCTGTTGATGGCACGTAAAGGTCTCAGGACTCGTATCGTCCTTATCGCCGACAAATTCATATTTTCCACGTTCAAGCAGTATTCCAGAGCTCTGCAATAAAAAAGGAAATAAAATTTCTCTTGCTTTCTCGTCAACATTTGTCAGGCTTTATTCATCAAATTCAATCGTGAATCAAACTTTTCAATAAAATTGATACTAGGAAACAAATTGCTTTGAAAAAAGAAAATATACGTCACTGTGGTGATGATTCTAGAATACACAAGAAGATATTATAAGCTGAGCAATTTTTTAATTTTTTAAATGAAATTATTTCCTTTTTTTGTCAATAAAAAAAAATACATATTCTTTATGAAAAACAATTCTCATTGTACATAAAATTTTATGAACAATAATATGTATTTTATTTACATTTTAATAAAAACAAAAAATTTTAATTGCATAGACTATGCACAGTTATTATTGTTAATCTCTAATGAACTTTTTAAAAAGAATATATATTTTATGTAAATCTCGACTATAACTTATTTAACTGATATTCAAAATTGAATTTAAAAAATTGATTTTTAATAGGTTAAATAAAATTTTTAAAAAAATTTTTTTTCTCAACAGATTTGATTTAATTTATAGTTGAGTTAAGATTTCTGGGGCCCAAGGCTGGGGTCCAAGGTTGATAAATTTGATTCAAAAATTGAAATTTATTCTAAATAAAATTAAATAACACTTAATCGTAAAGAAAAATAACACAGTAGAGTAACAGTATAAAATAGACGTATTAAATTTTACATGTTTCCTTTAATTTATAAACGTTTACGGATTTTTAGGGCTGTTGTATATTAAATCTGATACTTGCTGCTCCTCCTTTTTTCCATGAAAGTTTAAATCCTATTTGACGTACATAATATTAAGAGGTAAGATAATATTGAATGGTGTTAAAAGCTATTTCATTCTATACCTCTAGTGTACTAAAGGACAGATATAGAAAGTTTTAAAGAAGAGGATCTATTTTTGCAATATCATTTGGATTTGAAATTTGTAAAATTAGAGTGGATTATAATAAATGGAAGCTTAAAACGGAAACTCTATGGAAAATGGGACCCCGGGGTTATATCCCCCCTTACACCTCTCTTTCATCCTCCTTGATTCAGCGCTGAAGTTATCAAGATTGCCTCTGAGAAAACAGTATACAGGGTGTCCCAGAACTGGGGTAGGACCCGTGGAGGAATGATTGCTGAGGTGATTCTAAACAACTTTTTCCTTTGCCAAAATGTTGGTTAAGGCTTTGTTTTCGAGTTATTAACGAAAAACACTGGCCAATCAGAGCGTGCCTTTAGCGCAGGCTGAACCGCAACAATGGCTATGCTCTGCGTAATAGGATTCTTTGTTCATGAACAACCAATGATTCGATACTATTATTCCTTTCTTTTTTTAAAGAAAAATTCATTATTCGAATCCTATTATACCGACGAGGTGCTGATGCACTTGATTACGACCACGGCTTAAAAATAATGTTAAAAAGCTAAAGGTAAACAAGATTTGAATAAAAAGGCGCACATGTGCGCGTGGACGCGTTAACTTTCATTGGGCAGAAAGGGGCCGTTAGCCCCTTAGATAATGCCGCTCTCAAAATCGAGGGAAAAATATCAATCAATCAAACACTCGCGTGTCTCCAGCCGTCCTCGAATCATACTCCATAATCATTTAACATTCTTCACTTACATTCAATTTCACAAAGGTAAAGCAAGCGAAGTTAAATCTTCGATGGAAAAATGGGAAACCATCGTAAATTTCATATTTCATGACTTACAAACACCATCATACACACTAAGTTGTACAAATCAAAGAAAATAAACTTTTATTACAATTAAATTCCACAAAACACACCAAGTTGTGCAAATCAAACAAAATATCTTTTCCCAAAGAAAATTCAACAAATTAAATTGCGTTACAATTTTTCTTCAAGGTTCTGTGCAGGTCTGGTCAATACCATCCGGAACATTTGGCAACAAAACTTGTACGCCCACTTTCGACTACTTTTCCACTCGCACCCTTTGATCTTCAACTTGCCATTCTACACGTATCGAACTTCGTAGAGGAACTACTACAAAGGGACAAAAAAAGCAAACCTTTGTTTCGATCCAGTCGGTTTCAGAGAAACGAACAATGACCGGAATTCTTTCTTTATTTTACATTGTAGGCTAAATGTACCAGCCACCATTTCAAAATTGTATTTTATGACGGAAGTCATAAAAAATGAATGCAATGCGTGTGATTGATGATTTATAGTTCAAAGTATATAGGGTAGTTCGTCTAAGAGAAAAAAAATAAGTCGAAGAAAAAAATCAAATGTTTTTGTCCGACGCTTTGTTTTCGAGAAAGTCAACTCTATATTTCACCGAGCAGTATATGTTTAAAAATCAATTGTGCATTAAAATAATGGAAAACATTTCCAATAGTTCCTAAAGTAACAAAATTTCAATGCCCTTCATGATAATAAAAATATATAAAAACATAAGCATTGAGAGTAGTATAGACAACTACGAAATAAGACTGGTAAATCAAGTCTTACTTACTTAAATCTATATACTAGATAAATCTTTCAAGCTGATTTTTTCGAAAACGAAGTATCGGATGAAGAAATTTAATTCTTTTCTACTCGACTAATTTTTTTTTTAGAAACACCCTGTATTGGATTGTACCACCAGTTACGAACTACCCTGTATATAGGATATCGTATTTGTAGCGTTCTTTTTTAATTCGAAATAAAATTTCTTGCAATATGATTGTGTACATTAAAGACTATCTATAATATGGGAAATCAAAGGGATGCAAGTATATTTCATTATATTTAACGTTCTACCTATAAATATCTCTATTATTTATCATTTTTTGGAAAAAATCTTGATGATTATGTAGATATAGGGAACCAACCCCAACGACACCTAATATGAACAACATTGTAATTGTAGTATCGTAGTTTATATTCTAAAGGCAGAAAGAGGGCCATAAAAGAGAAAAAGACGAAAACCAGACCCAATGTGTCGGCGAGGGTTTTTCCGAACTGGGCCTTAGTTAATTATCAAAATCCTTCAACAAAAATTAATCTTACTGTTACATGCGCCCTTTAAAATAATACAACTTTGTCCTGAGCATTTTTTCCAGAAACTGATAAATAATGGAAATATTTAAGCGTTCTCGTTTAAATGGTTCACCCTGTGTATAAAAGTTAATCTATGTAATATTTTTCAGAATCAAAGTGATCACTCTTAAAGTCATTCCCTTGGGAAGTTATACACCGGTGAAGACGTTTTTCCAAGTTCTTGAAGCAATATTGAAAGTCTCCCTCCTTTAGAATGTTCACTTGCTCTGTCACGGGCTTTCGAATGTTTTCAATTGTATGAAAACGACCATCTATAAGATGATTTTTAATCTTGGGAATTAAAAGAACATCAGAGAGTCTGAAGTCTGAGGAATAACGGGGCTAAGGCACTGTTACAATTCTCATTCGGTGATAGATAATAAATTACAGATAGATTTAAATAACTAAATGATAGATAAATAAATGTGGTAACTAATAATTTTATTCATGAGATACTAAGAATTGTTGAAAGAAGTATTTCAGTTCTGAATTTCAAATATCTTACGATTAGAAAATTTTTAATTACTTTAATTTGTGGGCCACTAAAAAATAATTCAGCTTACGATATTTTGGGACAATATGGCATATGCTTTTTTTTTAGTAAAAAAACTTACTTTGAAAGTCTTAATTACTGCAATTTACATTTCATTAATCGTCAGATCGCAGTTTAGTCATAAGCGTAAATATGTAGGGAATGAAGCGGTCCTGACCCCCCACAAAAAGAGGACTAATCCTCTCACCTCTCTAAAATTTTGAAATTACAAAATTCCAAACTTTCAAAATTTCTAAAGGACTTGGCCTCTCTCTCATCATTCTACAATTATGAAATCCCAAAATTCAAAAATTCCAAAATTAAAAAATTCTCTAATTCCGAAATTACAAAATTCCAGAATTTCTAATAGATACCTCCTCAAAAAAAAATAATAATAATAAGAACTAGCCCTTTCACTATTCTAAAATTTTAAGATTCCAAAATTAATAAATTTTGTAGGGATCTGGCCCCATCCCCAAAAATGAGGACTAATCCTCTTATCATTCTAAAATTTCAAAATTCCAAACTTAAAAAATTAAAAAATTCCCCAATTCCAAATTTCTAAGGAATCCTTCCTCCTCCCCCGAAAATATTCTAGTTACGCCAATGACGAAAGAATAATTCTATGCTAATTCTAGTTTTTTTCCATTTGTACTATTATCGGAACAATGTGTATAGTTCGTACACGTAAAATGAAATAAGCATTATCGTTCACCGGTTTCGCAAACTGTGGAATCGTATTTTTGCGAAATTCAGGCATTTAACTTTATTCGCAACGCGCCGTTCAATTTGGCGAACTCAATTTCGCAGGCAGCTCTCGGTGCAACAGTTTTCACCGTTCACGGTTGCGGTATCGACAGTTTTAACCGAAACCTTAACGCGACTCTACCCAGCGCTGTATGGAAATGAAAAGCGCTTTATAACTAACGCGTTCGGTTTGTCTCGAATACAGGTTACAGCAGTTCGGTTTGCTTTCGATCGATCAACATTTCCATAATATCTCGTTCGCTGAAATTCATACGGCAGACTGCAATTTCACGTGTTATATTAGGTGTATCAGAAGCGTTATTTCATTTCTTTCTCCAGAAATATAATACAGGCTGACCCAAAAGTCACGTCCTCATTTCAAAAGGTCTTGTATTTTTCAGAAATAGAGTTTATAATGAAAATGCCTACACTTTAAGAATATTAAAAAATTGTGGAAATTTATGTAATAATGAATAATGCAGCTCATTTTCATTTTCATCCCAATTTTTCACATTTCATATAGGTAAATAGGGAAATTTTCAATACGAAAATATTTCAAATTTTTGGAAAAAAGTACGAAAAGTTTGTAATAAATAAATAAAAAAATTTCTAACAAGTAAACAAGAAAATTGTCCTAAATGTGCAATAGAAAAATAGAACAATTTCCAACTGGTAAATAGGACAGTTTTTAGTGGGAAAGTATTTCAAATTTTCAATAGAAAAAGGAGGGAAATAGGAGAATTTCCAACATGTAAATAGGAAAATTATAAACGGAAAAATGTTCTACATTTCCGATAGGAAAATAGGAAAATTTCTCATAGCAAAATTGGAGCTTATCCAATAACCTCCACATTGTAATTTTAATGTCAGTAGTAATAACTTCCACATTGCAATTTTAATATTAATAGTAATAACCTCCACATTGTAATTTTAATATTAATAGAAAAACAGAAAGCATATTTTTTATATTTGTATATTTCACTGTACATGTGAATTGTATTTGTGCAAAATCAGGCCAATCATATGAATGAAAACGGTGATTTTGAATTTCAAGTTGCAGCAACTTCTCGGTCTATTAATTATCGAAACTACCAACATGATATTGATCCTCTTAGTTAGGACGTTGTGTTAATCAGCATCAAAATACGTATATTCGTGTAATTCGAACACAACAAAATATTTGCTGCACACAGTCTGTTGTAGAATCAATGCGACTGGTTGAAATATAAATAAGGGTAGTTGTGTATTTCATTCAAAATAAGCGCTTTAACAGAAATTTTGAATAACATTTTTTTTAATTTTTTACTACCACGATGTGGGACTTGAGAGCAATATTTACACTGTTTTACAAATATTCATGATAATATGAAATCTTTTTTTACCGTAAGAAAAAGAAAATATTAGATACACCATGTTATCCCATTTTCCTCTATTTCACATAATTGCATTACGATCCCCATAGCCTGTAATATTGCCCATTATCGTTCACTTTTGTTCCTTGCTTATTTCATTAATCTTGGTTTCAAATTTAATAGCTAATATTGTTTATAGTACAGAACTACTTTTATTACTGATCACGAAAAACTAAGAAGCAAAATAAAAAAAAAAGATACTGAAGAAAATTCAGTTTAATACATTAGACTCTCGCTATATTGCCACTCTTTATATTACTGATTAATCAATTACCCCTCCATCCGAATTTTTACACAGGTGTCAAGCGTCGCATGAAAGAAGCTCTTTTTATATTACCTAGTCCCGTAACCGACAATATAGCGAGAGTTTACTATATTGTGACGATACTTATAAGATACGATCAAAAATTGGTTTGATCCTCCTATTGGACAATTATGATTACACTTTTGCATAAAAGTGATTTTTTTGTCATAGTTGGGATACATTATGAATGCATAAATGGTTAAAAAGGACCCCTTTGTTATTTGAACCGTTCAAAGACCACTTTTTGAATCTGTTAAAATTTTAGTACCATGGCACTCAATTGATTAACATAGCACTTAACTTTTTATATTTTATCAATTTTTCTTACTTTGTTTTGTGGAGTTAATCAATTTTGTCAATGAAATCTGTCTTGAGTAGTAGTCTTTGGTATAGGTATTAATCTATGCGTTTGCGTTTAGAGTTTGGAGTTTACCAGCTGGAAGTCGATATAAGGTTAGCAAGAATTCATGAACCAGCAGTTAGAAGCGCGTAATTATAAAGTCTATAGCGAAGTCAGTAGTTTCAACAATATCTTTACACTTTCATAGCCAGTAATTCTGACGCGAGCTCAAACTTTTGCGATTAGGCAAAGAAAATATTTTCTAATGACACACTTTGAATCATTTTTCGCATCCAATAATTATAAATCCACTCTTTAACACTTTGATAGTCACTTATTTAATCGAATTAACTACTTTCATAATTTTATAAAAGAATTACTGAGAGAATTATAGTTGACAACTTTTATAACGTAAGTATGTCACAAAATTGCCAGTTTTTAAATTAAAATCAGGAACAATACGTAAAAGGTGGGACACTTAGCATAAATATTATAGATGTAGTTATAGCAATTGATCAGCTGAAAATCGAAATAAAGCCAGCAGGAATTCATGAATCACTAGCTAAAAGTACATAATTATGAAGTCTATAGCAGAGTCAATAGTTCCAAGAATATCTGTACACTTTTATAGATGGTAATTTTAACGTAAACACGAGGAAACTAAAAGTCTCAATGTCTTTTACTGTCGCCTTTTTTCTTGACGATTAAATGTTATTTAAGTGTATTCAAAATAAATTTCAATGTTTGGGCCAAGTTTGTCACCCAAGGGTGCTCTGAAAAGTTTGATAGCCTCAGTACCCCAGAAATCTGCAGTAGCCACAATTGTACTCGTTCAAAATACAAATGATGGAAATTATAAATTTTAAAAATGATATTTTTGTGTAGAATTAGTGGAAGTGTTTTAAGAGTTGTAGGAATGAAAAGGTAATTAAAGAGTGCACTTACCCAGCAGCCACAATGAAGAAGTCCAATCTGTTCCAGGAGTCAGCGAGGTAAGTCCCTTTGCCGTATATCCCCATCGCGACCATTTTGATTGTCATTTCCAAGGAAAAGAAGGCAAAAATTATGTCGTCGAACATCTGTGGACGTGAACATAACATCGCTTGATTAGGCTAAAGGACACTTAAACTCAATCGAGTGTAATTGATCGAGGACACTCGACGCAAGTTCCATTACCGATCAACAACGGTTGTTGGTTTCTCGTGTTTACTTCCCTTTTCCACTCTATGTGCAATAGCCGACGTGAAAAGCAAGACAAACAGTACGATTAATCAAACCACCGTGTCATGACGTTAAGATTTTGTTTCGTCCTTAGGTAACCACGAATTTCCAATTCTAACGTCAAAAGAAGTTCGTTTGAAAACATTTTTAGACGTACAAATTGAAACATCAACTTCATTCATTTAAAATATTCAATATAAGATATTACAGAGTCATTTAATACTATAAAATGCAGTAAAATGGTAAAAAAGAGGGTGATAATATGGCCCCCTGGTTTTATATTCCTTTTCATAATTTAAACTAATAAAATTATTTGTGATAGAAGGTGAAAATTTGACGGTAAAAATGTGTGATATGAAAATTATCAGGGAAGCCATAATATCCAATGCCGGTTTTAGCAATATTAGCACCCTGTGCAAGATTATCGTGGCACCAATTCAGGGGCCCAAAATTTTTAAGAAAAAAAGACAAGGTAATAATATGAAACGATGAATCTGTACTTAGATTGTAAAAATTGTTAAACTAACATAGCAGCTTTACTAATCTAAACGGATATAAGTAGGGACATCGGGTTGTGGCGCCCCCTACAGATCTAGCGCCCTGGACGATTGTCTGACCCCCCCCTCCTCCAAACGCCGGCTCTGATAATACCACACTTTCCTCTGGATGGCCTACAGGCCGCACGGCCTTTACTCCCCTCCTACTTAGCTACCTCCACCACACCCACTTGATTTCACATCCACACCTGCGTAATGATGTGACCTGTCTACAGTAGACCCGCACTAAATACCTGCGAGATAATCACCCCTTGGATCACATGGAGCGTTCAAGCTTGGTAAGTTGAAAGGGGGGATGGACCCAGACCGAAGATCGAAGAAGAGGAAAATAGCCTCCTTGGCAGGCTATTCCGCCAAATAGGTACGGACCTAATAGTCTAATCTGAACGATATTGGTAAGAAAGAATCGGCTAATACCCTGGGATGAGGAAGATAGCCTACTTAATAGGGCCTACTAGAACCTTTTTGCCGAGCTTAGACGCTTCTTAAGGACCCTCAGGTGGGGTCTTTCCAAAGAACGGCCATAACAAAACATTAAACATAGGAGCTGCAAGGATACCAGATGTTATTGGCTCGCGGTATTTGATCGTTTTCTGGATTGCCCGCCTCTGGAGACCTATAAACGTGGGTCTACTCACAAAGAGAACTACCCAAGTGTTACACTCACTTATTAATGAAACTTTGCCAGCTTGTAGAGCTCGTCGAGCTGAACACGCCTATACCCCGTTTTGTGGGCAGACGACTAATTGTTTAAAAGATATTAATAATTAAAGTTAGTTATTACTTACATTGAGAAGTATGACAGACTCACACATACAACTCGCAATCTAGAGATCCACGATTCAAATCCTTGATTCCCAACATTTTTTTTTTTTTTGTAATGATAATTTGTCTCTTTTTGAATAACTATTACATAAAAATTATCATAATAAAAAAAATTTTTTTTGAACCGAGGACCTTTAAATTGCAACTCACGCATCTGCTCCGTGGTTAAACACATGACTCGTAATCTAAAGGTTCTCGGTTCAAATCCTGAGTTCCCGTTTTTTTTTTCTTTTTTTATAATAATAATTTTTAGGTAATAGTTATTCAAAAAGAGACAAATTATCATTAAAGAAAAAAAAAAATGTTGGGAACCAAGGATTTAAACCGCGGATCTCTAGATTGCGAGTTGTATGTGTGAGTCTGTCATATTTCTCAATGTAAGTAGTAACTAACTTTAATTATTAATATCTTTTAAACAATTAGCCGTCTGCGCACAAAACGGGGTATAGGCGTGTTCAGCTCGACAAGCTCTACAAGCTGGCAATGTTTCATTAATAAGTGAGTGTAACACTTGGGTAGTTCCCCTTGTCAGTAGAGACATGGGTCACATCAGGCGCGTGCCGTATGAATCGTACCCCATGGGTGATGTAGAAACCTATTGATACGAGTGTAGCCCCAATGCGTCCTGAAAAGTTCATACGGCACGCGCCTGAGGTGCCTCGAGGGCTAAGGCCCTCACGCGGGGCATGACGAGTGGTGGGAGAAAGGGGCGTAGCCTCTGAAAACTGGCCGAAAGAGCAGTTAATTCCGAGCCCTGATCTACTGTACTAACGAGGAGAAGATACATTTGGTTCTTCAACCCTTTGCGGACGATTGACGCATATGTGTGTCCAAATATAATTGGGATAGTAATTTATAACTTCGTACATACTGAGTCGTATTCCTGATATAAAACTCGGCTATAAATGTAGACAGTAAAGTTTTATAATATATGCTTCGAAGAATGAAATTATTACTTCCTTTAATTTAAATTAATAATACCTACTCTGTGCAAGTTTAAGAATCCTCCGTCCCCAAAGGGTTAAAGTAGAGCTTTAGCTTAAAGTGCCAATTATTGTACAGTTTACCCTACTCCTGTGTGCATATCTGGTGGTACATGCATGGGGTTTGTATTATGAACTACCTTTAACCAGGCCAAGCTGGTACTACAGATTGACACGGTCAACAAATGAGACACTTGAACTAGAAATTGATCAGAAAACCATGGAATTCACGACAAAATGTAATATCGCTGCATGATACGTCAGACCCTTTATCGTATTGACGACTTGGCAAAGGTCAATAGAATGCAGTATGTAATCTTATTACTCGCAGTATATTTTTAAAATTTTTTACTTTTTTTATTAATATTCATGGAAAACTATTTAATTATGAACAAAATCTCATCAACTAGTTTATAGTGAATAATATTATAACTGGGAGTTAGAAAATTATAATATTCTAATTAATAAAAAATTACCTAATAAAAAATTTTAAGAAAATTATCTCGCCATCTAATACATATATTGTTAAGATTATGTAAACAATCATTATTGCTCTAATAGTAACGACGAAAGATATAACATGTCACTTAACCCTTTTTCAGATTATGTAAGATTATCTAACACTGTAATGCATGTAGATGCAATTATTTGAAAATTTATGTAATTCTCTATTATTTTATTATACTTTTAAATATTGCAAAGCGGATTTGTCTACACTTACCAATTCGATAAATTCTATGTATTATTAAACGAAATAATGTCCAGAATAATAATAATTAAATGAAATAATAATAATAAAATAACACTTCAGAAAGCTATACATCTGAAAAAGGGTTAAAAGGATTTTTAAATCTGTAATATTTACCTACTCAAAAAATATCATTCGTGGCATATTATAATTCTTTCATAAATAACATTTTCATCAAACATATTTAATAAATGAAGTTGATGTATATTCCAATTTGTATGCACTTGTCAACATCAGATAAACAGCATTGTTATGTTTATATCAAAGGGTTATCTTGTACCTGTGTAACTAACTAAATAAATATTATATTAGGAACAAAATATTATTGAATATTATAATCCAAGAAAACATTAATCAGTCAAAGAATAATTGTTTTCTGTAATATCAGAAACAATACGAATAGGTACTATTGTCAAATTTCAATTTTTGTTATCATTGTATATTTTATCCTAATGAGAAATATTATATTTTCGATGTTACACGTAAAATAAACATTAAATTAGATCCGAAACGTGAATACATATGGATAAATTTGCAAGCTCTGACTTTTATTCGCCATCTGTACAACTTGGTAATTAAACCGTACCATTAATTAAAATAACTTAACACAATTGCTCATATGTGATAGCATAAGCAGAGAGATTTTATCAGTGAGAGCTTCAAATCGTTCACGTGAAATGGCACGCTTATTCTCTTTGATGTAATTAAAATTTCACGTTGTGCATGCAGGAAAAACACGATATAACTATTTAATCTCCACATGTCTAACACATTTAAAAATATGTATACGTACTTGTAATATTTTACAGCGGTTTGTTACACATTGGTCGTCGACACACGGCTGGTACATACCGAGTGTGATACAGTTCAAAAGAATTACCATCATGCTCACTCTTTCGAACCACGTGATAACTGTGTTAAGGAAAATACTTTCTCCAAATGTATTTGCCTATAATAATACTTTTCTCAAAAAAATAGTATAATTTATTTATTTTTGTACGAGAAATTAATATAAGTAAAAAATTCGAAAACTCCGAAGTTTCAAAATTCAAAAATTCTGGGATTCTGAAATTTGAAAATTTTAACATTCAATAAAATTAATTAAAAGAATCAGGACTCCACTGAAATAAAACAGAAACATAAAATTGAGATGTTATAATAAAATTTTGATAAAAAAATTTAGAACTCCACTAAAATGTAGCAGGAATATAAATTTCCATTAAAAAGAAATGAAGTTCCAGTAATAGAGAGGAGAAATACAAAATTGGAACATTCCAATAAAATCCATTAACAGAACCAGGATTCTATTAACAATAATATATAAAGTGTCGCAGCTAACTCTGCTAGTCTTAATTATTTTGTTATTTATAGAGATGAAAAAAAAACGCTTTCGAAGGAAAATTAGGCCACGATGATATAAGTATCTCAGAATCATAGTTTTTAAAACTTCACACTGACCTTTGCTTTTTTTAAACCAAATTGTATATTTTTGTTAACATAGGTCAACAATATTAAACTTGTGAAATACTTTTAATTCAAAAGTAAGATATTTTATACATAAAAAAACTAGAAATATCAGATCTGTATTTAAAAAAGGAATATATAGTTCCGTGTAAAAAAAGTGCATTTGCATTTTTTATTTTTTATTTAGTTTTATTTTTTTTTCATGAAATTGCATATTTGCTGTTTTCCTGCAAAGTATTGGGATGTAATGTTAAAAAATCAACCCTTTATGAGATATTTAAAATTTTAGAATAAGAATAAAAGATTGAAACACAGAAAGTGAACGGAATAATAGAAACACTAAAAAATGTTTAAACTCTTCTGTTTTTTTCAACATCCTCGGTTGTTAAAATAGTTTTGTATTATATCAGTTCGTATCTGATTATTATCTTCACTGAAGATACTCAGAATGACTACGTACATATACATACCCTCGATTTCAGTGTATGAACACCTGTATACGTCTTGTCATTTATTTCCACACTCTTAATGTTTTCTAGTGTTACTCGAAGTTATTGAACACCTTGTTGAATTCTGTGTTGCAGTACTTGAACCTTTTCTATAGGCGTTGTGTACAATGGATTTCAAGTGCCTATACAAATGAAAACCCAATAGATTTAGATTCAAGAAATAGGACTTACATAAACAATCCATTTATTTGACAATTTTTTGTTTAACTTTTATAAGAACACGAGATGCACATGGTACTTCATAACATATTTTTTTTGGCCTAACTTCATAGATGAATGTTTTATTATCGTTTCCTTTTTTCTAAATATAATATTAACAGTTTAAACATTGTACTTTAATATTGATATTAATCGAGGTATTTAATACCATAGGTATGCATTTTTAAAAATTTTTGGATTAATAATAGAAATGGTTAGTTAAATATAATGGTATAGTTTAATTAGGATTAAATAAAGTGACCAATACAATAATCCACTTACAATAAAAAAAAAATTAGTAACCTAATCATTATACTGTAATATTAATAATTAAGATTATAGTAACCTTATGATACTATGCTACCCCATAATAAATCAGTACGAAAGCATTCTATACAGGGTGATTCACTTAACTTGCACACCTCAATAACTTTTAAATTATGCATCCAATAAAAAGAAATTGTATGCAATTTCTAGGGGAAGAAAAGATGAGGTGTCAAATTTTTCTGTATATAGAAGAATTTCAAAATTTTCAACATCAACTTTATTTTTTATGTTAGAATTTGAAGGAATATTAAGTTCCAAATAAAAAAGTATTAACATCTTCTCATCTTAATTCTAATAGTTAGATGAAATAAATTAGCTGAATCACCTCGTGTAAGAAAAACAAAAGGCTGAACGAATTCCACCATAATTGAGCTAAAATTAAGGATACAGTAATCCAATTACAAAATAATAACACGTTGTGTGGTACAATAGCCTGTCATTTTTTTCACCCTATTTAATTAACACATCAACTCTAACTAATCATTCCCTTTTTATTTCTGTTCCACAATTGCTCTATTCCTGTCAATAACCGACCGCATGTAGATAGATATATCTTATACCCTTGAGACTAGTTGAAATCATTATCACCACCCTCTGTCGTACCACATGTAACTCCTGTTACAACATTTCACCATCGTGTCGTCAATGAAGCATCGATCGATGGACAGGGTACAAGTGTAATCTTACGAATCGATCACCGTTGCCAAGTGACTATTACCTAAACACTCTTCTCCTCGATGTGTAACTTAAACGTTACTTAACATCAGATAAAGGTTCGAGTGGTATTTCACTTGCAATCATCTTTTTATAAAATTATCTGGAAACGAGCGCCATGCATTAACGTAAATAGAATTCTTCTTAGGGGGTAGGCTAGATCTGCTCTATAAGTGTCTATTATTTATTTATATCTTTTTGTTTTCATAAAAGGTAACAGTATGGGTATCGTATCTTTAGATTAGGGGACCTTGCAATTAGGGATTTTGTAAATTTTTCAAACAGCAATAAGCATGCTTTGATACTTGTTGACATAATTATAATTCTTGAAAATTTATATAAAATTAAAAATTTATTCCTTTCAATTTGTTTGCTCTTATCAATTAGGTAAAATGATATTTAACCCTTGAACAGCGAAGTCTGGGTCAATCGCGATTCAAACTTACAAAACATCTGCAAGGACATTAATCTAAGGTTAAAACGAAAAAATTTCATGTATTGGAAGAATAATTTTTAAAGGAATCGTGGAAAATTTAGAAAATGAAAATTGGGGCTCTCTCCATGGTCCGTTGTCCAAGGGTTAAACGAAATAAATGCTCCTGCAATACAATAATTTGTAATATTTTGTAACACTTTGTGATAATTTGTAATAATTTACAATATTTCCTTTAGACATGGACGCACTAAAGAGTTTGTAATATTTTATATGATTTTTTTTCACTGTTGATAATTTTTGAAATGATCTATATGCATTTCTTTATTATCATTCTTTATTATGGTGCACTTCTGGAGTATTTTGGATAAAGGCACCTTTACTAAAATGGGATCACTGGTAAGCTAGACCTAGTTTTGGGATGAGCTGCGTGTTGTCAATCGGGTGTAATTCGAGGGGATTACCAGATTACTCTGTGTACAGAGTACACAAAACTCATTTCATGCTATTAGCAACCTTCTAAGCTACCTAACGATGCAAAGCTTATACTTAGCAAACGTTCCATAACTTCAATATTTTGCGGATGTAGTAGGAAACGTTTAAAATGCAGCACCTATAATGTAATGATATAGTACAGCATCGAAGATGATAGGATTCTCTAAAGAAAACGTTGATGTAAAATGGCTCTACTATTCTAATGTAAATATCTATCAAGTATTTTTTTAATATTTATATTAAACATTATTTTTTTTAATGTTTATATTAAACATTTATTTTTTTAATATTGCACTCTAATACTTTTTCTACTCAAAGTGTCCCAAAAAACCAATCTACGGAAAATAAATATGCAGTTCCATTAAAAAAACATGTGTGTTTGTATTTTGCAAGTGCATCGATGCACTTGTGAAAAAAAAAGCTTAGCAAACAGTGTAAAATTTTTCTCTATGACTTTTGTATAATTTGGAACAGAACACTGTGTAATCACAGAAAAACTAACAGAAATGATTAAAAACACACATTGTATAAAAATTTACAACTATGGCTTGTAAACTTAATCAATAAAATTGAAAATCCAGAACATTTTTCAAAATTCCTAACAGCAATCAAAATAGAAATAATTTCAAAACAGTAATAAACCTGAAATCTATAACATGTTTATTAAGAATATAAAATAATGATGAGAGAAGTGTATAAAAATTCGAAATACACTTCGAAAAATGTTAACGATATTTTAACTAAAGAATGAAGAGAATGTAACAATAGCATTGAAGTATACAAAGGAAAAGTCATAATTCTTAATATAATCATAAAATACATAAAAATCAGAGTTGGGCATTATATCAAATCATCTTTTGATATATATTTTGAATAAAATGAAAATATTTAAAAATCAGAAATGATTTTTTCTTTGATTGATAATTTATTTACAGATCTTTGTATATAAAACTCGAATAAAACCAAATTATTTGAAAATTTCTGTTATTTTCAAATAACTAATTTAATTTTAAATTATTTTCATTATTCAAGATAAAAATTTACTCGAATAAGTAATTTACTTCTTATTCTTGAATATCTTCGTTTTAGTCAAAATTTGTGTTAAAAAATTATTTGATATAATGCAAAACTCTGATAAAAATGAAAGAGTAAAGTTCACACAGAATTTACTGTATTAATTATAAAAAACAAAAAAAGGAAAACAAATTTGAAAATAAAATTAAGATCTCTTTGTCAAATACTTACAAGCGAAAAAGAATGTTAGAATCACCTAAGTATTTTCGAGTTTCATGTGTACGTACTTTTTTAATTGTATTAGAAAAGTGTTGTATCATTTAACACCTTGTCTGAGTTCACTAGGTGTCCAGAAATTTATGAACGATACTGTATACCTTTAGGATAATCAAATGATCAAAGACAGACGCAGAAGATATTAATACACTAACCCGTGAAGAATTTACCAAATTCCCTAAACTGCATTCCAAGTCGTGAAAAGAAAGAATTACTATAAACAGAGAGAAAAGTGGGAGATTTAATTGATATACGTAGCAGATACAAACCTTAAGGAAATATTTTTACAGTAGGGAAACAGCCCTGAGGCTTACTACAAGAAACCATGTCCAAAGCCAATAGGGTTCTAGAAAGGGGCACTTCTAGGAAACGGAGAATTATCGAGCATCAATTGCATTTCTGTGGCACAATCATACATTCATTATTAGTTATTAATTTGTTTATGTGACACAGCTGTTTATTGGCTATCTAGACG